GCATTTTTTATAAATTATGTCAAACTCGAATATGACAGTGATGATGCAGACACTTGATGATTGGATCCTGAGGATCATCTGGTTCATTTCGTGTCATACGTTTTTCAAAGCATTCACTCATCGAAATACTGCATTGATGAGAGACGGTAAAATCGATCACTGCACGATGTCACATTTATTTGCCATCCCCTCAAGATGTGAAAGTGTACGAATTTCGTAATTTTTTGGAAGGCCTGAATGAAATCGGGGAATTTGGATGTGATTCGAAATGTCTGCATTAATGCTCCAAAACTATAGTAGATTTACAAATTACATAGAACGTTTGCAGTTCAAACGTAAACTTATACAGAAGAAAACGTGACTAAACAGCGCCTCAGTCTGAGCCCTCTGAGGTGACTGGAATGCGTCGTTATTTGGCTACTAGGGAAACTCGAGAAATTCCTTTGAACTCCTTGAAATCAGTAACAAAAATACGTCGAGAAGTATAGAAAAAAAAAATCGCAGTTCCACAAAATAATTTAAAATTTTCTGATATTCGAGCATTTATTCCGAATTGCGCAGCGAATTCCGTCAGGCCTTGAACGTATAAGTGATTGATGCCTCATTGGAGGGATTCAAAGTTCTATATCCGCGTACGCATTAAATTCTTTTCAAATCTATTCAATTTCTATTTCATTCTGTTCAACGAAATGTCCCTGCATATTATTTCCGCTCGGGGAATCGAAACGCTTGCAAACGGAATACCTGCATCCTTTCACATTTATTTCCATAGTAAAACTGAAGAAATTTCAAAGATGCTGCGCACAAAATGGCAAATTCTCTTGAAATGAATATTCCGAGCTCAGAGAAGTTTGCAAGTGTCTCAAACTTTTCTCTTACATCGTTACGTCTCGCTTTTTTTTTCGAAGAAGGCCAAAAATAAGAAAACACACGCAGAAGCAAATATATGCAGTGTTGAACCACACAAGAGCAAAGTTCATGCGTATTTTGCCGGATGGTGGTTTGTCTTTGTCTTCCGAGTTCTGCGCAGTACAAGTGCATCAATAGAAACTTTGCTTGTTTCTCGAAGATGATATGCGTAGGAATAACATGAGTCGAAGCAATTTGCTGCCTTGTTTATGCTGAATTGTAAGACAATTCGCCTTGAACAAGACAACTGTGAAGTTTTTTTTTATCGCAGGAAGAAAAACTTCAACTATAATGACCCATATTTCCGTTGACCCATGCGGATATTTCGAAGATGAGATTCTGGAAAAAGCATTCAGTGTAATCAGATTTTATCTTAAACATAATAGAAACAGCACCTGATGGAGCTACTTCAAAATTCCTACATTATTCGCTTATTTGCGAGTGATGAACAAAATCGTCTCAAATTTTAACCAAAATCATTCCTCATTGACTCATTCGAAACCTTTCCATCGAATAGCTCGATCCATGAACACCAGATTCTCCCGAGTATAGATTCCATGCTGGAATTCTGTATACGAACCAATACTTTTTTTCAAGATTTTCGAACCTAAATTTAAAAGCTAGCAACGCCTGTAATCAGGTTTTTGTTCACTTTCTTGATTTTTGGAGCAGAAAATAAATGTATCCCACATGAAGTCCCAAACATTAAGCATAATTTATATATGTACTTCTGCTTTTAAGAAATCGAAGGAATTCTGTTTGTTTTTTAAATCCGAAGAAATCGAGAGGGTGAGAAAAACAGGGACATAATACCTGTACGTTATAATAGAAGCCATATGCTCTTTTGACTCTCCAAAAATTGTCTGTGTACAGCATTGAAAGTACGCCTTCATAAATAGCTCAATTCTTGAAGCACAAAAAAAAAGGTACGTCAAAAACAGCTCTTAATGGTATCTTCTATTTGTTGAATTATTTTGAAAGTATGCATTGGGACCTGCGTTAAGTTATCTGAGTCCATGTCTATAAAGTTTAAATAAGGCAGTGCCCTTAAACACGTCGTATTTTCCGCATTTTCACTAGATGTCGTACGTTAGAAGGATAAGATATCGGATAACAAAGACAAATCAGCTGACAGACAATTAAGACAGTCCCGAAGTAACTCTGCACACAAAAGTTGTTTTTCTTTTACACTTGATTTATTTGTTTTCCCAAGATTCTTATCATGAATCTTGGAAAATTTTATACTGGCGAATTTTATATTCTTTTAAAAATTTATAAACAGTATTTGAAATATGCTTTTTTCAGAAATATTCCTTTATAATACTTGCGTATACGTGCTATATATATATTTTTATGAAATGTGTTATGCATGGAAGTTTGTGTAATTTTTCTTGACCATAGGAGAATATTTTGTGCAGTTTACCTCTGCCAATATTTAGAAAAATAATAAAGGATGTTCTGATGTTCTTTATGTGTATTACGGTGCATTACAATGGATAGACGGTGGTATGAATGCTTCTGTCTCAAATAGTCGTTGTCTCAAAATTATCTCTGTCTCAAAATGTACCTGATGTCTCAAATATTCCATATTGCCTCCAAAAGTTTATGTCTTGAATTGGCCCTGTCTCCAAATTTCTGTCTCAATTTGTCCTAGATCAATAAAATACTGTACTTCACAGTATTGGCTGACGCGGTGGTGCAATAATTCGGAAGGTGTCGTTGGAAGCCCATATACAGTATACAGTATTTTTCCGCATGGGGCAAATGTCTGGAAAATTATTACATAAGCCAGTTCTGATTAAATCCTACAGTTTCCAACATGATACAATATTTTTGGGCATCTCACGTAACTCAACGCATTTGGTTCCATCATCACGAGGGCTGCTGACCCTGGCGTTAACCCAAACGCTTTCTGATCGTTTTCATCGCCGATGGCTATGGCATGCAGCATCAAACGTTTTTCGAAGCGAATTTTCTCACAGCCGTTCAATTTCTCTTTCGATCGTGTATACAACATCAAACAATTTAAAAACATCAAAGTGCCTGTCAATTTGAAGAGTGATCATCCGTGCAAGAAAATTGCAGTTATCTGGGCAATAAATGAGGCTCACAGCACCACCATTTTCAAGTGAATATAAATTTTTCGAGTACTGTATTTTATTTCTGTGAAGTTTTTGAAGCATTGTTTTTCGCGTTTGTGAAGTGATTTTCATTTTTATCCATTTCATATATAGAACGTGGATTGAGCAACTGTTTCAGTGTACTGCATAATTGTTTATATGGCGACTTTTTTCGGGACATCGTCACTAAATTTACTATTACCATAGTCCAGCAGACTTTCTTCGGAATTTGTGGATTTACAAGTTTTTATATCTGACTAAAGGTTTGGGGCACGGAAGTCTAATAATCCGTCAATATACTGGATTTAGCTAACGTACATGTACGTTATGGTGACTTGAAATAAACAAATTAAAAAACTCCACTATTCATACTGTAAATGAGTTTGAATGTAAAGTTTGTTTTACATTCTGAAACTTAGTGCACAAAAACATCCGAAACCTTGAGAAAAAAATGAGAATATTGTTGTTCAAAATCCCTTTCAAGTGCTTGGGGCCCCGAGATGCGGACGTCATTTGAGCATTGCACAGTGTCTTCATATGTCAGAATTTTCACATGTCAGATCACGTTTTCCAGTATGTGTCAAGTGGACAATATCTGATTGGTTCTCTTGTTGATCAAAAAAATCGGGGAAAACCCCCCAAAAATTGAATGAACTAATTTTTCTCAACTTTAAGATGGAGAAAATCATGTTGCAAAAAAACCATACAAAATCGCATACGCTGTTATGGCATGAAAAATGCCCCAAAAAGCAAAGAAAAAGCGCAAGTCTTCCTAAATTATGTACAGTTGTACACAGATGATCATGCAAATCATTTTGAAAAAGAGCACGAAATTAACCTGTTCTGGATTGAATTATAGTGAATTCAAGAATTTTTCAATATTTGTTACTATAAAAAGCATAATTTGTTCGAGTTATCACAATATTGATAAATAAAATATTTCCATTTGACTAGACTTGTGTGAAAGTGTCCGTATATCGAGGCAATGGTTGGGTGACGGGTCCGATTTTTTACAGCCTTTTAATGAGTCCCGATAAGTTGAATCGTTCGTTTGTCAGGGCCTTCGCATGTCAGGGTCCCATTGTGATTTGGAATTCACCTTTCAAAAAACTCTTTAATTTTGTTTTGCGTCCAGATAAGAGTTTCAAGGACTAAAAAATCACGATTAAAAAATTTAATGTATGCATAAACACGGGTCACAATTCCTGTATCCATGCCCTCAATAATATTTCACATCACACTCAGATACCAATCGATGCGATATCTGACTCATCCCAGAAGAGCAACACTAGGCAATTTACAAGGACAGAAAGCGTAACTAAAAAACTTCAGAAAAGACGGTCTCATCACAGAGTAAAAGTGCTTACAGAAGTTTCAATGGCTCTTCAACTTGAATGAGTCCAAGTTTCGAAGTGCTTCACAGAAGGGTGGTTGATATATATATATACAGTTGGTAACATTGAAGGGCTCGCAATAATGTAGCTGAACAGCCCTTTATCTTCTTCTTCGCGTCTTTGTCGTGGGGATCGTTTTCCCAGAAGTGCACGTGACTGCCAGTATCAACAGACCTCAATCTGTTCACTTATTTCAGAAAAAAAAGTATACAAAAATCATATGTGAGCGTGAATCCAGGTCAGGCTGATTATGTAAAAAGGTAAATCTTTAAAATGTATTCCCGTATCACGAAGAAAATAAAGCTCGAACTTCCCGCGGATGCCAGAAGAAAAACACACATCCTATATCGAAATTATCTACGAAAAATATATATGTCACGTGCTTTTTTCTGCTTCTGTGCTTCCTACGTTCAAGACTTATTTTTGAATCATTTTGACATTTTTAAATATTCTGAATAGGCTTTCAAATATTTTGACTGATTTTTCGAGTATTCTTACCCGATAGCCGAAGGATTAATTATCATTAAAAGTAGCGGGTAATTTTACATGAAACCGAATATTCGTTGGAAGTACAGCATTCTCAGACTTCTGTTCGTCTCATCAAATTTGTCTACTTTTAATAATGCATTCGACGTGGATTTCACTGAAGTACTCTTGCACTCCGCCGCGCATATCTATACGAAAACTTCGATTGGTTTTCACTCCTTGAAAAGGACATAATTACATAGATTCCCCGGAATTGCTCATGTAAGTTCATCCTTGAATAATTTATGCGCGTGTCATTGTGCAATCGACTGAAGATTCCAGATAATCCTGCATAGGATTGAGTGCAGAACAGTGTCTTCCCTTATAATCGATGCTCTTCGCCCGGGGGAACGGAGCTGAGAAGTGGCTCAATGAATCTCGCGTTCGAAGCTCCCGTTACTTCTTTGATGATCTGCCCCCTGGAGTGACGAAAACGACGAGGCATAAAGAGGATTCAAGTGAGAAAGCGAGACGGAACTAGACGAAAAAAAAAGGGGGGAAATCTCGGAAGTGAAGATGTCGAGCCAGGAAGAGGCTCATGGCCGGAACTCAGATAAACCCGGCGGCGACGTCGACGCAAATCGAGCCGACAGATCGCCGCTCGTCCGCCTTTGCCAGCGACAATCGTCAGTGCCACTGGTGACGACTTTTCTCCTGATGGGCTCCTATGTATCGTATGTGAGTATTTATATATGGGTTCTTATTCTTTTCTTTCCGGACGGATTATCGACGCGGTCCGTGTGACACTGTGAAACAGTACATGCCTATGGAAGTCTTACATACAGGGTGATTTCACTGAATATATAATAGAATATACTCTAAAAAAATCGTAATCCATATTACCCAAGGTACCATGTATGAAATGATGGTCCTGATTTTTGTTCCGAAAATTTCGAAAAATCCCCGCTAGTACCTAAAATTGACACGCGTCCAAGTTATTTTGCCGAATGTTTGCAATTAATGAGCGCAAGCTAATAACACGTGACGTACGTTATACGTCGGAGAAAATCATCAGGGCAAATCATGGATCAAGAACATAATTTTATTTTACAAAAAACTGGAATAAATCTGAGTCTCACAGTATCTCAGGTCACATTCCTCCACGTATATATAGGCACGGGAGTTCTCGGATCTTCATATTTTAATGTTCTGAAAACGTGGGAAAGAAATGTCAATTAAAATTGAAAGAGCCCATCTATTAAAATAGCATGACACACGAATTCGACGATGTGTACACCTGTTACGTTTTTATTATGGAACGTCTTTACGTTTTTATCTTGTTACGTTTTTTATTACAGAAAAGATGCGAAAATAAAAAGGAAGGAAATCCCCTTCCCCCCCC